GGGGTGGGTCGTGCTGGGGGTATGGTCGTGCTGGGGTGTGGTCGTGCTGGGGTGTGGTCGTGCTGGGGTGTGGTCGTGCTGGGGTGTGGTCGTGCTGGGGGGTGGTCGTGCTGGGGGGGGTGGTCGTGCTGGGGTGTGGTCGTGCTGGGGCGTGGTCGTGCTGGGGCGTGGTCGTGCTGGGGCGTGGTCGTGCTGGGGTGTGGTCGTGCTGTGGTGAGGTCGTGCTGGGGTGTGGTCGTGCTGGGGTGTGGTTTTGCTGGGGTAGGGTCGTGCTGGGGTCGGGTCGTGCTGGGGTGTGGTCGTGCTGGGGTATGGTCGTGCTGGGGTGGGGTCGTGCTGGGGTGGGGTCGTGCTGGGGTCTGGTCGTGCTGGGGTGTGGTCGTGCTGGGGTATGGTCGTGCTAGGGTGGGGTCGTGCATTTCGCTCGAGACATCCTGCCACAATTCCAGGAAATCGTACAAAAACAAAGGAATTAGTCGAGACATCATCGAAATTCCTTCGCGCGGGGCGCTTTTCCGCGTCGCGGTCGGCTCTGCAAAACAAGCGTTTCGCTCGAGACATCCTCGGCAAACTCTGCGGAGCAAGCGTTTCGCTCGAGACATCCTCAACACACTAAAAAGTGGCCCGCACCCTGTGATTTATCGATCGGGATTTCAAAAACAAGCGTTTCGCTCGATACATCCTCAAATTTTAATTCGCCGGCCTCCTTCGACCTCGTTATTTATCAGGGAAAAAATTCGCCGGCCTCCCTCAAGTTGGCACCGGGGGACAGGTTTACCTACTAAAAGAGAACCCTGGGCCTATGCCCTTTCCGGGGACATTGCTGGCGGCAACTTATCCTCCTCCCCCTCCTCATCCTACTCCTTCTCCTCCTTCTCCTCCTCATCCTCCTCCTTCTTCTTTCTCCCCCCTCCTCCTCCTTCTCCCCCTCCTCCTGGGCCACGACGTGCGAGCGGTGCCGAAGCGTCGTGCAGGCAGGCAAGACGATACCTTCGATACCACTAAGACCAGCCCAGCCGAGGGCGCGGGCGACCTGCAGGCACTTGACCCGGAAGGCGGACCCATGGAACGTCATGCCTCCGTTGGCGGTGTCGACCGCGACCAAGAGTCGCGGGTTGACGTCCGGCTCCAGGCGGGGCGCGAGGGGCACCTCGGAGGCTCCCTCCACCGTCCATCCTGAGGCCTCCTGCCCGGCCGGGACGAAGTCCGCCGGGTCGTCCTCCGTCTCCTCCCCCCCTGGGGTCAGAGGGACTGGCTCCCCTCCAAAGGGGTTCCCCGAGGCAGACTCCTCCCGCAGCCAATCCCGAAACTTGTGCAGCGCGTGGAGACGGGGCTCCTGCCGGCGGCGGCGGAGCTGGCGGCGCCGCTCGGGGTACTCCCGGAGGAGGGCGAGGAAGGTCTTGCCGCCCCAGTCTAGGTGGCCGGGAACGCCTTCGGGGACGCGCAGGGCGGCGTGGTCGAGGTGTGCGACCGCTCGGCGGTCCCGCGGGGATTCGTCCTCCTCCCGGGGCCCCGCGGGCCAGAGCCCTCCGAGGAAGGCGGATACCCGCTGCGTGAGTGCGCCGGCTCCCGCACGCTCCCTCGTCTGGACTGGCCGCCTCGGGTCGCGAGGGTCGGCGACCAAGGCAGGGTCTCGGTCCCCCCCGATCACCAGCCGGACGAGGCGGCTGTCTGGGGGCGGGGGCAAGGGGGCCTCCGTAAGTCCCGTCTTCCACGGATCTGGAAACTTGGCCCGCGCCCTGCGCCCCTCCGTGGTGAAGATCAGGCGCGTCACCAGGAACCTCCAAATCTCCTCCGTCTGCTTCTTGGCTACCACCAGGTGCGCGCCTGCCCGCATCCTGCAGAGGTGGCAGCAGATGTAGCGGGAGGCCCCGTTGGCCCCGACGAATAGAGTATGGGGGGCCACCCGCGCGTGGACACAGGGCACCTCCATGACTCCCATGCCGCGCCGCACGCGGGGTTTGGGCGCGGTCCCTCCCACCTGGCCGCCTGCCGCCTCCACGTGATGCCGGATGACGGCGATCCGCTTGCGCTGGCCGCCTCCGACGCTCTGCTCCTCGATGACCCTCGGGAGGTCCTCCACGCCCGGCTTCGCCTCCCCTCCCGCACCAGGTGGGTCCCGAGCCGCAGGGGGGAGCCCTCCTTGGCCCGGACTGGGGAGGGCGATCCCCTCCCCCGGCTTTCCGAGGAGGCGCCCCGGCTCCGCTCCCGGGGCCGGGGTCGTCCCAGGCTTCCGCTCCTCCCCCGCACTGGGGAGCCATCCTTGGGCGGGCAGTCTTCCGGTTGGGCCGGCGCGGGGCGGCCCCTCGGGTGGTGGTGGTGGTACTTGCAGCCCGGCGTCTTGCAGGGGCGGCTTTTCCAGTAGTACCGGCACACCCCTGGGGGGGGCTGGGTGTTGTCGTAGTACTTCCAGCGCATGCGCGACGTGGACCCACCCCCCTTCCCCACGCGAGACTTCCCTCGGGACTTCCCTCGGCCGCCCTGTGGCTCTTTCCCCCGCCCACGCCCCATTTCCTCCTTTCGGGGGTGTGCCGGGCCTCTTCCCCTTCCCGGTGGGACGGCCCTGTGGGGTTGAAGTCCCACGTCGGAGACCCAGGACGAAGTCCTGCAGGGTGAGGGTCGTCTGGGGTTCGGTCTCGCGGTCCCCCTCGGGGTTCCGCTCGGTGTACCTGGCCCACGCTTCCGCTCCCCTCTCGGTCCGCCGCATCCGCTCCACCTCGGCCAGGAGCCATTCCCTCTTGTGGCAGGGCTCGCCGCAGCTACCGCAGCTATCCCTCCTCCCTGGGTGGTTGGGGCCGCTCTGGCACTTCGGGCACCACCACGCCCGTGCCTTGGTCAGGAAGTGCGCGGAGCAGTTCCCGCAGCGACTCCGACGGTCCCCCGCCTCCTTCCCGCAGCCGAGGCATAGCCAGAGGCCACCCGGCTGGGCAGGAGGGCGGGGCTCACGCGGCTCTGCCGTGGGGGGCTCGGCCCTTCTGGGGCTGCGGGACCTAGGGGGCGGCGAATCCCGCGTGCGGAGCCCAGGCCCCTCCTCCCCGGTCCGCTTCCACGGGGGGCTGGGGCTCCTCTTGCGGGGGCCAGGCGAGACTTCCTGCCGGACGGAGCCCCTGGGGGTGGACACACGCCGCACGCCCGCGCGGTCCGGTGCCGGCGGCGGGCGGGGTCCAACTTTGCTCCCCGACCTTCCTCGCCGGCGCAGGGAGCGCTCGCGAGGGGCACGACTCTCCACCCTTCCCCTTCGGTTTGGTCCCTCTGGGTATGCCCGACGCCCCGCGCTCCGGGGGCGCGCGTGCTCTTCCGGTCGAGTCGCGGCGGGGGCTGACGGGCGAGCGACGGCGGGGCCCCTTGATCCGCCGTGGGGACTCGGAGGCCCCAGCGTCCCTCCGGCTCGGGCGGCTTGTCCCGGGGGGCCCTGCTCCCTCCCCTCCCGCCGCTCGCGCTTTCCCCTCTGCGAGCCTCGGCGGTGTCCTCATTTCCCCTGCCTCTCCGGCGCTCCGTAGGGGGGCGTGGGGCGAGGCTTCTGGCGGCTGGTTTCCCATCCCCGGCCTGCCTGCTCCGGCCACTGGCGGCCTTTTCGCGCTCGCTCTCCGACGATCCGCCCTGTGGGGACATCTCTTCTTAATTCCTCCTCACACTTGGCCCCCCCTTTTCTCCCTTCGGCCTCTTTCCGAAAGTGGGGGCCCCTTTGGTCGCTATTCCTCCATTCTCGAAGGTGGAGTCCGGCGGAGGGTAGACCGTGCCCTTCGTCATCTCACTCAGGAACGTGTCGACGCAAAAAGCACAAACCAGAAGACCGACACCTCCAAGTGGGATGAATCACAGGACAAAAAGAGAGAGAGATCAGAGCAGTCAAAAGAACCAAACCCGATACTAAGAAATAGAAAAACAAAACATTAAACCAACCAGAAGGAAACTAGAAATGCAAACAAGAATACCAACAAAAACAACACCAAGGCAAAAGCAAAAACCCAAACACCTCTAGGACGCCCTCCCGCCTGTTCCCCACTCCGCCTCTCCCACCCCGGCTACCGACGCCTCCGGGCGTACCGGAACATTGTGTGAGCGGATTATGGCGCCGTGCCTTCACGTCCCCCCCCAGGAGGTTCCAGCATGTCCTGGCCCCGTGCCTCCTCCAGCGCCTGTGTGGCTCGGTTGAGCGCGTCCAGGTGCGCCGGGCCCCCCCCCCCCTCGGTCTCCCTCCGCGGTGGAGGGTCTGGTCCCTTCCCCCAGGTCTCGCCGCTTGGGGCGTCCGTGGCGGCTCCGGGCGATGCCCCACCGATGCCGCCTTCCTCCCTCTGGAGTTGAGGGTCCGAAGGCCCTTTACCCCCCCCTGCGGGTTTGGGTGGGTGGGGAATTTCGCCGACGGCATCTGGGGCCGGGGGCGCCTCCGCTTGGCGCGGGCGGGGCCACACGTCCCGGTAGCGGATCCAGGTGAAGGCCTCCGGCGTGGGCCCCAGTGCGAGGGCGTGCCCCTGGTTGAGGAACAGCCGGGCGTCGGGGGGGTCGCCGCCCGCGCGGCTGGGAATCCGCGTCTCGCGGAGGTAGGAGTCCTGGAGCGTGCACACGTGGAGGTCGACACTGGCGAGGGCGGGGCCTCCCAGTAAAGGAAACTCTCGGTAGTCTCTTCCCGAGTGCGGGACGGCGGCCCCCGCCCGGAGTGCGTCGTCCAGGGGCGAACTGGAGGCCGGCGGCGCATCGCCGGCCGCCTCCAGCAGCTCCGCCCGGTAGCGGGTGGCCAGGGCGTGCACTTCCTCCTGATGAGGGGGGGTGCCGTGCTGCCGCCACAGCGAGGAGGCGGCGGTGCTCAGGAGCATGCACTGCCCTCCCTCCGGTTCGCCTTCCTGCAGCCCCAGCTTCTCCCGCATGAGATGGGCGTGGGGCCCCGTGGGGTGGGGGCACTGGCCGAAGTCGAGCGCGCCCCAAGCCGTGCGGCGCGGGCAGGCAATGCACGCCAGCACCCCCGGGGCGGGCGCCTGTGTGGCGCTCTGCTCGGGCTCCCCCCTCCCCGTGGTGGGGGGGGCCCCCCGGGGGTGTCTCCGTGCCCCGGTTGGCGTTCTGCCCGCCGCGGGTCTTCGGGCGGGGCTTCGGTCCCTTCCGGAGTGCAGCCACGCGGGCATCCACCGCCGCGGGCGTCACGAGGGGGAGCTTGTGGAACCCTCCGAAGCGGAAGAAGAGCAACCTGGTCTCCATGGGGAGGCCCTTCAGATCATTGATCTTCTGGTGGGCGCCCCGGCAGCCGCTCCCCCGCCAGCGCGCGCTGTGGCAATTGAAAGGGATGCAAATCCTATTGCCCTGTGGGTTCTTAGGGGCACCCGCCAGGGCCGCCTTATGCTCCTCCGCCTCCAGGGCCGTGCCGATGGGGCACTGCGGGTCATCGTCCTGGCCGGCGCGCCCCGCCGGGGGCGGGGGTGGCACCTTCGCTCTGCTCGTCCGCGAGAGGGCAGACAGGGCGGACCGTTGCTCCCAAGACTTACGGGACACCGCCCGGGCTCGAAAGAACCCGTTGGGGTGGTCCAGCTGGAAGGAGAGGGGCATCTGGAATCGCGGCTGGTCTCCCGGCCCCTCCAAGAGGTGGAGCCTGAACTCCTCCTCGGTGGGGTTCTGGTTTCTGAGGTCGTGGAGGGCCCGCTGGACGATCAGTCGGATGCCGTCCCGCCAGTCCCAGTGGAGCTCCTCCCAGATCGCGAAGAGGTCCCCCTCCGTCCACTGGTTGGGGTCATCGAGGTTGAGCTGCACCAGCCTCCTCAAGGCGCCCCGCCTCTCCCTCTCGTGGTCTTGGCCGTAGAACAGGCAGAAGGCGGTGATGCTCCGGTGGGCCTGGTCGGCCCAGACGGCGAGGATCTTGGTCCAGGCGGGGCGCTTCCCCATGTAGGCGGGGTCCGAGCGTGGGATGAACCGCTCGAACTCCCCCCGAGTGGTCCGCGGGAAGTCCGATGCTCCCAGGGACCACTTGGCCATCCGTTCCAGATCGCGGCCCCCCCAGAAGCCCCCCGCGATGGCTCCGCCCCCTCCCCTCCGGGCTGCGTCGCATAGCTCCCTTCCGACGAGGCCCGGGCAAAGGGCGACGTAGAAGGCGTTGAACCCCCGGGCGGTGTAGACCGCCAGCCGGCACTGTCTTCTTGAGGTAGCCCAGGGAGCCCCCCACGTTCTTGGAGTCGTCGGCCTCCACGCGCTGGGAGAGGTTGAGGTGCTGAACCAAGAGGCGGGTGTTCGGGTCAGTGAAAATCCCTGCCTGCCCCTCCCCCCCTGCCCCGGCGCGTCCTGTGGCGCTCCTTGGCGGGGCGATCCCATGAATGGCATCCCACCGCCGGACGGCGCGGGGCGCGTGTCACGGTATTCCCCCTCGGGGAGGCCGGTGAAGATCCCCTCCATGACGCCCGGAGGTTGGAGGGCCTGCGCCGGTGAGGGCGGGGGGGGGTCTCCCTGCTGGGGCAGGCCCCTCCTGCCCCTTCTGGAGCAGGCGCTTCTCGAGGACGTGCCGCAAGAGCTTGCCGAGGGCGGCCTGCTCCTCCCGCTCCAGTGAGGCGGGGTTGCGGAGGGCGGTCGCCTCCAACTCCTCCGCGCACGGAGTGACCAACGCCAGGCAGGTGTCCGGGTCCTCGCCGTAGTAGTCCTGGGCCGCCTCAAGCGCGGCCTCCACTCCAACGCCGTCCTGGATGGCGGAGAGGAGGGCCTCGAGGAGCCAGACCACCGCCGAGGGCTCCCCCGACGGGTCGCGGGAGGCGCCTGTGGAGGGGTTCCCTCCCTCACGCGCCGGAGGGCGTGGTGAGCTTTCCCGGCGGGTGTTCCTCCCCCGTGGGGGGTGCTCTTCCCCACCCGAGGATTGGCCGGGCTCCTCGTCCATCCGCCGGGCACTCCGATGGCGCCATCGGTCCAGCTCCCGGGAGTTCAGCAGCAATACTACCTCCTGGACCCCGCCTGCCCCTCCGGAGGGGGTCTTCCCTTCCTCTGTCAGGGCGCTCCACTCCGGCTTAGTCGCTTCGACGAACCAGGCAGGGATCCCTCCCGGGGGGGGGGGAGGGCCTGTCCCGGGCGACGGATCTGACCGATCGGGACGGAGTAGCGAAGACCGAGGGCGGCGAGGTGGACCACCGCCTCACCCGGAGGGTGGCCTGCTGGCGGCTCCCCCCCTCCCCCCCGGAAGACAAGATAGTGCTCGGCCGGGGGCTGTTTCCCACAGCCCCGAAGGGCTTCCCCCCCGCGGCGAATGCGGCCCAGGAAGAGGCGGCCAACCGCATCGCGCGGGCGGGTGATGGGAGGCAGCGGGGTTAGGGGGCCCGGAGGGGGGTCCTTCGAGGAAGCTGGCAGCCCCTCTCCCGGCCGCCCCTGGGGGGGGCCGGCGGACTGCGCCGCATGGGAGGCGCAGAGGGGCCCCCCCTCCACCTGCAGGGTCCCGATCTCGTCGCACGAGGGGGGGGCGCGAAGGCGCAGAGGAGGTGCTGGCGGGCAAGCCAGTACATGCGCTTGTGCCGAGCGCATAGGGGGGCCAGGACGCGCCCGCCCAGTCGCTCCCATCCGGCAACGTCCGACTGGGGTTCATCCTCGACCAGAAGGAGGGTGAACCCTTCGTCCGGGGGCTCCGGGCACGGGGCGCGGAGGCCGAGGGTGCCCAGGGTGCTTCCGGGTTGGCGCCAGCCCAAGCGGTCCCCACCACGCGTCCCGATGGTGGGCCCCTCGCTCTCCGACTCGAGCTGGCGATCCCGGGGCCTCCCCGCTCCGGCTGCCGCCCTCCTTTCGCGACAGCACCACGCCCCCAGCAGGTCTATCCCGATGGCTCGGGACATGGAGCGGAGGAGTCGGTGGGCGCCACCCAAGGCGCTGCCGAGGAGGCAGGCGAGGCCCAGGAGGAAGCCTTGATAGGGAAGAGCCTTCTCCGGTATCAGGACGAGCCCCTCCTCCGCGCCGGTGTAGTGGTAGCTGACCGCCACAATGTCTGGGGGGATCACCGCTTCCCACTCCCGCGCCAAGTAGACGGCGCGCCCCCGAACGTTCTCCAGCCGCTGACGGAGGGAGGGGTCCGCGCAGTGCAGCGCGGCACCGCAGAGGTACACCTGCCCTTCCTTCCGCGTCGCGGGCAGCGCGGAGCCCGGTTTCCGCTGCATCCGGACCATTCCCTCCCCGATGATGGCGAGCAGCTCATGCGGGCGGCGGCTGGAGTGCCTCCCGCGGGCCCGGATCCAGTCCTGGAAGAACTTGTTGGGCGTGGTCCCGCCCGAGGCGGGCCCTCCCCACACCAGCCTCGAGTCCTTCAAGGGGTGCGGGCGTTCGTTCCTGCGCAGAGGGCCCTTGCCCCGTGAGAGTAGGGCCAGGGCATAGGCCAGGAGGGTGAGGAGGTCCAAGGCCACCAGGGCGGAGAGGAGGTAGAAGAAGACCAGGAGGTACTGGAGCCAGTGGGGGAACCCCTTCCAGCGGGCGCTCCCGAACATCACCAACCCTAACCATGCCCCTCCTTGCAATAGGCCGCCCAGGAGGTGGTTCGGCCATCGCGGGAACGGGCCCTCTCCAGGGGGTTCACCAGGTGCCCCGGCATGCCGGCGCCGGCCGTGCGCCTCCGGGGCTCGGCGGGGCGCCCAGGCTGAGAGATGCGCGTCCAGCTGGGAGAGGGTCCGCCGGATACTCCAGGAATGATCATCTGGGGCCCTCCCCTCCGCCAGCTGGGAGAAGGTCCGCTGGATACTCCAGGAATGATCATCTGGAGTCCTCCCCTCCGTCCGATTGCCCCCCTCCTCCCCTCCTCCAGCCGGGAACTCCGACGAGGAAGGCGCGGGGGGAAAGTCTTCCACGGGCGAGGCCGCGGGGATGCGCCCAGCAGGGGGAGGCACGATGTAGCCCACAGGCTCCATGCAGACATCCTCCTCTACATGCTCTGGGGCGGGGTCGGTGCCGTCGGCGGGGACGAAGTCCACGGTCCCCGCCATCCCAACGGCAGCCCCAGTGGCCGCTCCAGCCACGGGAGCCGTGCGCCCTCCCGGAGGCAGGGCACCCAGCTCGGCCGCGGCGAGCAGTAGCAAGCAGGCGGGGTGGGATCCTCCCCTCCCCCTCATGATGAGATTAGGGGCCAGGGGCCCCTCCCGTAAAAGCACAGCTCGAAACACAGACGGCTGCGGAAGAGGGGAAAGGGAAAAAGGGGAGGGAGCCAGAGCACTGCGGCCTAGGGGGGAATAAAACCGTTTAGGCATAGCCAAACGAGACCATCCATGGTGTCCCGAAAAAAACCTTATCCAGGAGACCGCGCTAAGTGAGTTAGCGAGGTCAGCTAACTCAGTTAGCGGTACTTAGCTAACCTGGCCCAACCCTTGGCCAACTACTTAACAACTTAGCCCAACACGAGGCTAAGTCGTTAGCAACCGTTGAAAAATGCATTTCGTTAACTTGATGGATCGAGTTACCTAAGTAGATGGTATATGTTAGTAACGAGTTGTAACACAGCCCAAATGGTGCAAGTCGTTGCAAAGGATAGCAAGCCCGCCGACCACCCAAGTGTCCCACTCTCCCCGCCGCTGTCCCCCTGAGCTGTCCCACTGTCCCCACCACCACTGTCCTCACTGTCCCCACACACGCACCACTTCCCCCACCACCACCGTCCCCACTAGAGTCCCCCTGTCCCCACCACTCTCCCCACCACCGTCCCCACTGGACCACTGTCCCACCACCGTCCCCACCACTACCGTCCCCACCACTGTCCCACTGTTCCCACTGTCCCCACCACTGGCCCACTGTCCTCTCACCTCTGTCCCCACCACCACCGTCCCACCACTGTCCCACTGTCCCCACCACTGTCCCACTGTCCCCACACCACTGTCCCCACCACCACCGTCCTCACCACTGTCCCAATGTCCCCACCACTGTCCCACTGACCTCAGGAGCGGGACTCGTTTGCCGGCGGCGAGGGGGGGGTTCGAACTGGTAGCCCCCCCCCGTGTTCGAAGGGGGAAGGGGGGGACGGGTTGGGAACCTCCAGTGACCCCCCCCCGGTTTTCCGCCAGCAGCGGTAGAACACGCTCTTTCAGACCTCGCCATCCCTGGGGGGTGGGGGGCTGCGATTTCCGAAACTGTCGCCACTTTCGAGGGATGAATGGGAGGGCCAGCATAGTGGGTAGCTGCTTGGGGGGCCAACTATAGTGGGTAGCCGCCGCAAATACAAATAGACCTCGTCATCCCTGGGGGGCTGCGATTTGCGAAACTGTCGCCACTTTCGAGGGCTGCTTGGGGGGCCAGCATAGCGATCTGCGAAGCTGTCACCATTTTCGAGGGCTGCTGGTGGGTCCAGCGGAGTGAGGCACCGCGCAGATCTGAGCGAGACCTCACCGTCCCTGGGGGGCTGCGATCTGCGAAACCGTCGCCACTTTCGAGGGCTGCTGGCGGGTCCAGCGGAATGAGGCACCGTGCAGATCTGAGCGGAATCTCGCCGTCCTTGGGGGGCTGCGATCTGCGAAACCGTCGCTACTTTCGAAGGCTGGTGGCGGGTCCAGCGGAGCGAGGCACCGCGCAGATCTGAGCGGGACCTCGCAATCCCTCGGGCTCGCAGAAGTATATGCGCCCATGTCACGCCATCACCTCCGTATAACGTCTCCCAAGCTACTCATGTCCCGCATTGCGCAGGGGTTGGGTACGTCGCCAGGGTAGTTCCTTCTCTGCGGCACCGCCCGGGAGTGCTCAAACGCTTTCCATGACGCAACGCCCGGCGAGAGAAGAGCCCCCCAGAAGCCGGCCGCGCGCGGCCGCGCCTCCCGCAAGCGCCGCCACGCGCGCAGCCCCGCCTCTGGGCGGCCACGGGTGCCCGGGCGCGGGGATCCCCTCGCCGCCAGGTCTTTGGTCCCAATCTGCGCGGAGCGCCACAAGTTGATGTTTATGGGGCTTCTTCCTCCTCTAGAGCATCCTGCATACGACATCGAGGCACGCGCGGGGGATGGGGATCCGAGAGCGATGGCGGGGGCTCCCCAGATGGAGTCACTTATTTGGAAGTCTTCCGGAGGGCGTTATGCGCGCGCAGAATGCCCGCCCTAAGGACTACCTACCAAACCACCCCAACCTAGCCCGAAGACCCACATTTCCGGTTGGGGGGGGTCGGGCTGCACATGTGTTTTGAGTGTTACCCGACGCCCCCACCCTGGGAATGGAGGGCGAATTGGGGCCTTCGGGTCGGGTTTGGGTGGTTTGGTGAGTGGTGACTTCAGGCGCCCAGCAGTTCCCAAGTCCTGGGCGCCGGGCCTCGAGATGAGTTGCGGGAAAGCTTCAGGAGTGTTTTGATGGGCCGACTTTCCACCACCACTATCATGGGGAGGAGGAGGAGGAGGAGGAGGAGGAGGAGGAGGAGGAGGAGGAGGAGGAGGAGGAGGAGGAGGAGGAGGAGGAGGAGGAGGAGAGGTGGAGGAGGAGGAGGAGGAGGAGGAGGAGGAGGAGGAGGAGGAGGAGGAGGAGGAGAGGAGGAGGAAGAGGAGGAGGACCTCCCCATCCTCCCTTCTCCCCCCGTCCTACGTGTGGTGGCGGTGGTGGGACATTGGCCCCTCGTGCACTGCGCGGGCAGAGGGCCCGCCTCTCCAGGCATCCCCCCCACACCTTCTCGGCCTCCTGGCCGGGCCCGGCCCAGGCCCAGTCTTAAGTCGGGCCTGTCCCCCTAAAACTCGAAACAAATACTCCCAAAATGCGCAAGACTGGCCAACAAATCGTCCCCAGACTGTCTTGGGGCTATCTTTGAATATCCCTCGTGCAGAGGGACAAGCCCGACTCAAGTCCAGTGTCCACGTGCGCGCCCCTCCTGGCCTGTGCACGGCGGCATGCAGTCGGGGCGTGGCCCCGAGGAACCCGAATAGGAGGAGCGGGGCCCCTTTTCTTCCAAGCTAAGCTTCGAATGCCCATCGAAAACCTGAGGACAACCCAAGGCAAAATGTGAAACAATCAAGGAACACGCAGCCGGCGGCACACAGCTGGGGCGTTGACCTAAAGAACCCTGCATCAGGAACGAGGCTCCTTGCTGCCTAAATTAACCTTCGATCTCCCGTCGAAGACCTGAGGACAACCTGAGGCAAACTTCGAAACAATGAAGGAGCACATAGCCCCTCCCACACTTACGAGGGCTCCTCCTTCAGCGCCCGCGACTCCGTGCACCGATCCTGGGCGTAAGTCGGGCGTGCCCCCCTACAGGCGGATGTTGAACGAACATTTCAACATACAGATACATATATATATATATACACATATACACATGTGTATATATATATATATATAAGCCTCAGAAAAATATTCCCCTGATTTTTGTTTCACTCAGAAATAATATAAGAATCGTTCCCCGACTATGTTTTTCTATTCTTGAATTCTCCTCCTGTAGAGGGACAGGCCCGACTCAGTCCTGGGCCCAGCCTCGGCCTGGCAGGGGTCGGTGCAGGTGTACACGGCCGGTGCCCTCCGACCTCCCTGCCCTGGCCAGGGCAGGGGGGCCGCCGCCGTCCTGCCCTCCCCGGAGGCCCAGAGCACTGCACAGAGGCCAAAGCACCACCTCCATCCAGACAGTCCAGACTGCGCCATTCTGTATTGGGACACCCTCCTCCTCCTCCTCCTCCTCCTCCTCCTGCTCCTCCTGCTCCTCCTCCTCCTCCTCCCTCCTCCCCATCCCCTCCTCTCACCTCCTCTTCCTCCTCACCCCTCCTGCCCCTCCTGCTCCTCCTCCTCCTCCTCCTCCTCCTCCTCCTCCTCCTCCTCCTCCTCCTCTTCCCCCCCCTCCTCCTCCTCTTCCTCCTCTCCCTCCCCCCCTCCTCCTCTTCCTCCTCTTAATCCTCCTCCTCCTCCTCTGCCATCGGTCGGAGGAAGATCAACTACACTTACACATTAATCGGAAGAAGTAGATAGAAACATGAAGCAGGGAGGCGTTTAAAATAGATTGGATGTCCGTCCGCCCCCCGAGAGGGACGGAAACGTTGAAGCGCCTCGATCATTGAAGTAGGAAGAAGGCGACCAAAGTAGATTGAAGCATGGGACTCCAAAAATACCTACTTTCAACGACGGATGGGTGAACTTTCGGAGCTCCGCGCAGATTTCTTGAGTCGGCGCCAGACCACCCTGGCGGCGCCTCCAGCTCTGCGCGCCAGGGGAAGGAGTCCAGCGCCGATCCAAGAAGTCCGCGCGGAGCTCCGAAGGTTCCGGCTGATGGGGTCATGTTTGTTCCTCGACGTCCGCCTCCGTCCGCCCCTGGGACGAGGTTGGCCTCCCTTGACGAGGAGTCGCGTCTCAGGGTGCGGATGAGTGCGGAGACGAGCGATCACGCCTCTCGATAGCGGATACCGTTCGACATCAGCCGATGATTGGCCACCACAGCGGCATTCAACCCTGAACGCTCGTGCAAGGGTCGCCGCCGCGTCGATACGATTGAGAAACAAAAACGGCATGAACGTACACTTTTGAGGTCCGCGCGGATCTCTTGGATCTGGGCTACAGCCCCCTCCTTGGCGCGCGGAGCGCGCCAGGGGCGGCACCAGAGGCGCCGCCGGGGGGGGCCCAGCGCGGATCCAAGAAATCCGCGCGGAGCGCCAACAGTTTATGTTTATGGCGTGAGACAATACGATGTTTATGGCGTAAGACGATACAGTATATGGCCAACCTGTCATGGTAGTGTTCATTGCATATGTGTTGTGTGTTTCTTCTCCTAACGAAAAGGGCCTACCGCAAGACGGCGGCAGGAATACGACAAGACAGGGCAGAGGCACATCGGGGGTCTCTCGGGCCGGGCGAAAGGGGGGGATAGCAAAGGGGGGGTTTGAGAACCAGCTCACGTAGCTGACTTTCCCGGCGGCTCCCGGCGCCGGAGGCGGCTGTGCATCGCGGAATTGGCCCCTCGGTGGGGCCGAAACCAGCTGCATGCAGCAGATTTCGTGACCCCCCCTTTCCCAATCCCCCCTTTCGTCCGGCCCGAGTCTCTGAGAGCGAGCGGGTCTGGAGTACTTCTCGGACGCTGGCGGCCGGCTCCAGGGGCGCTCGGGAGCGCTCTGGAGCGAGCTCGCGGGCTTCCTGACCCCCCGCCTGGCCTCGCCAGGGAGAGGGGGAATGTCACTGTGACGTGCTGACCCGCCAAAAGGCGGCCCAGGCTAGGGGAACGAATAATAACACAAACATAGAAAGTCGGAGGTCCGTGCGGATTTCTTGGATCCGCACTGGGGGCCCCTGGCGGCGCCTCCGGCACCGCCCCTGGCGCGCTCCGCGCGCCAGAGAGGGGGCTCCAGAGCGGATCCAAGAAATCCGCGCGGACCTCCGAGTTATTCTCTTTATGTAATGTTTCGTTCCCCCATCGGCGGCTCTTCGCATTGCGCTCCCCACATGAAGAAGCGAGCGGACTTATGCGATCGAAACAAGACGCTGCTCCTGTAACGGACGGTGTGGCATCCAATGTTGGCCAACCCGTGCTGTCGAAGACCAGCACAGGAGCCGCTTCCGCCCTGGCCTTCGGCAAGAGCCCCCGCTGAGCTCCTGATTGGCCTTACCCAGATGGGCCCTGCGAACCCTTTCGTCCCCTCCCACTCTCCTCCTCCTCCTCCTCCTCCTCCTCCTGCTCATCCCACACGTCTTCCTCCCCCTCCTCCTGATTCCCCTCCTCCTCCTCTTCCTCCTCCTCCTCCTCCTCCTCCTCCTCCTCCTCCCCCGCGCCTCTTCCTCCCCCTCCTCATTCTTCTCCGCATCCCCCTTCTTCAGCTCCTCCTCCTCCTCCTCCTCCTCCTTCTCCTGCGCAACCCCATCCAAGTGTCCCATTCCTCTGTCCTACCTCCCTTCATCTCCTCCCTCTCTTCTGCTGCGCCTGTTCATCCACCTCCTCCATCCCTCTGGCGCACAACTCCTCTTCATTACACTGCCACGTGTGCTGGTTGGAAAGTTTAGGCGCTTCGCCCGAGACTATCTTGCCTTGACCCTGAAGCCTGACAATGCCATCAGCTAGAAGGACAGGAAGGAAGTAGCTGGCTTCGACCAACCTATCTCGCCTCATATCCGCCGGCAAGCATGATCCTGAAGCTCGAGGTTGCTCATTTTCAGGTCTGTGACGCCGTTTCTGCGGTGCGCGCATTATTCTCCGAATAATATCCCACGTGAGTGAGAGGAAATCGTACTGCTCTTCGGCAAAGTGAGCCGTCGAACAAGGGGGCGCTGACTCCGGTCCCGCCCCTGTGTCAAGACCACGCCTCCTCCTCCCCCTCAGGAAACGCCTCGAAACCTACGGCGGTCAGATAGCCTCCGAGGCAACTCGAGTATATTCCGAAAACGTCCGAACGCCACCGATACCGTATTGACAAAACAAAAAAAAAACATCTCCGAGGACCTCTGGAAGCATCTTCCTCCTCTTCCTCCTCCTTCTCCTCCGTATCCTCTTCCTCCGCCTCCTCCTCATCATCCTCTTAACGATCAGTATCATCATGATCATCAGCAGCATCATCATGTTCATTATAATGATCATGATCATGATCATCATCATCATCACCACCATCACCACCACCACCACAACCACCACCACCACCACCACCACCACCACCACCACCACCATCATCATCATCATCATCATCATCATCATCATCATCATCGTCGTCGTCGTCATCATCATCACCATCAGCATCAGCATCAGCATCAGCATCAGTGTCGTCATCATCATCATCATCATCATCATCATCATCATCATCATCATCATAATCGTCATCATCATCATCATTACCATTATCGTCATCACTTCTCATCATCATCAGCATCATCAGCATCATCAGCATCATCTTCATCATCCTCATCATCATGATCATCTTCATTATCATCCTCATCATCATCACCATCATCATCATCATGAGCATCGTCGTCATCACCATCAGCATCACCACAATCATCATCATCATCATCATCATCATCATCATTATCACCACCACCACCACCACCATCATCATCATCATCATCATCATCATCGTCAGCAGCATCATCATCGTCGTCATCGACATCATCATCGTCATCGTCATCGTCATCATCATCAGCATCCTCATCATTAGCATCAGCATCATCATGCTCATCATCATCATCAGCATCAGCATCATCATCATCGTCGTCATCCTCATCAGCAGCAGCATCAGCACCCGTATCAGCAGCAGCATCAGCACCAGCATCGTCATCATCATCATCATCATCATCATCATCATCATCATCATCCTCATCATGAATCATCGTCATCATCAGCAGCATCATCAGCTCCCCCATCCACATCATCGTCATCATCGGTACCATCAGCAGCATCATCATCCTCCTCCGCCTCTTCATCACGATCGTAATCATCGTTATCGTCATCGTCGCCATCATCAGTATCATCATCATCGTCAGCATCATCATCATCATCATCAGCAGCAGCAGCAGCGGCAGCGGCATCATCGTCAGCAGCAGCGTCATCAGCTCCCCCATCAACATCGTCATCAGCAGTACCATCAGCAACATCATCATCCTCCGCCTCCGCATCATCATCAGCATCATCATAAGCACCGTTATCGTCATCGTCGCCATCATCACCATTATCATCAGCATCATCATAAGCAGCAGCAGCATCAGCATCATCATCGTGATCATCAGCAGGAGCATCATCAGTTCCTCCATCCACATCATCGTCATCATCAAAACTATCAACAACATCATCGTCCTCCTCCGCCTCCTGCGTCTCCTCATCGTCATCATCAGCATCGTCAGAATCATCGTCATGGTGATCGTCCCCACCATCCTCATCATCATCAGCAGCAGCAGCATCATCATCAGCATCAGCATCATCAGCATCATCATCAGCAGCATCAACAGCAGCATCATCATCATTATCATTATCACCACCACCATCATAACTATATGCACCATGATCTTCATCGGGTTGGTCTTCATCATCACCATCATCGTCATCAGCCTCAGCCTCGCTATCACCATCACCACAATAGTTATCATCATCAGCAGCAATGTCATCGTCATCGCGGGCCATCATCATCGTCGACCGCGGAATGGGCGTCACCATCATCGTCTTCAGCAGCATCGTCATCATCGGCATGATCCTCATCAGCAGCATCATCATCAGCCTCAGCGTCAGAGTCAGCATCATCAGTACAGCGCCATCAGCAGCAGCAGCATCATCGTCGTCGGTGCCGTCGTTGTCATCATCGTCGGTATCAGCATCAGCAGAAGCAACAGCAGCTGCGTCATCGGCACCAGCATCAGCATCAGCATGATCAACACCATCGTCATTAGCAGCAGCATCATCAACAACAGCATCACCATCCCCCTCCGTCGCCTCCTCCTCCCTCTCCTCTGACATAAAAATTATATCTGTCGCCCCCATCCCCTCCCTTCTCGTCCGCTATATCCCCTTGCCACCCACCCACCACCACCCCCTGCTTCCTGATCCCCCTCGCCCATCAGCAATTGTGGTTGCCCCACTGTGTGTGATATCTGCGCGTGTGTTAGCTTGCTCCGCTTCCTGTCAGAAATGATATGCTGGCTATTGGCATTGCGTTCCCCCGTCCCCCCTCCCCGCCCTCTCTCACTGTCATTTCTCCTTCTCCTTCCCCACCCTCGTTCTTCTCCGCCTCTTTCCCCCTAGGGCCCCCTCCGCCCCCTCCTCCTACCTCTCCTCCTCCTCCTCCTCCTCCTCCTCCTCCTCCTCCTCCTCCTCCTCCTCCTCCTCACCCTCCTCTTCCTCCTCCTCCTCCTCCCTCCTCCTCCTCCTCCCCTCCTCCTCCCCCCTCCTCCCCCTCTCCCCTCCTTCCTCCTCCTCCTCCTCTCCTCCTCCTCCTCCCCTCTCCTCCTCCTCCTCCTCCTCCTCCTCCCTCCTCCATCCTCCTCGATCCGCTCTCCGTCCCTCCGTCCTCGTCCCCCCGTTCGCCCTTTCTTTCCCTGGCCTCCCCCCCCCCCTCATCCCACCGCCTTATCACTGCTCCCCTCGTTCCTCTCGCCGTTTCCCTCCTCACTCCTCGCTCTATCCCCCCCCCGCCCCACCACTTCCCTCCCCTCGCTCCATCGTCCCACTCCCTCCGCTTCCGCCCCTACCTCCTCCCAACAACGCCTCCCCGACCACCCTCCGAGTGCCCCTCCCCCCACCCCCTGCGGCGGAACCCCCCCCCCCCCACCCCACCCCACCCGGCGAACGGCCTCCATCTCCGCGGCGCCGTACGCGCGGGTGCAAAGCGGCCTCGCTCCCCGCCCGCGAAGGGGGGGGGCGGGGGCAGCGCAGAGCCAGATCGAGTCGCGAGACCGGATCGGGTCGGACACGGACGGGATCGCCAGCGAGTCGTCCAGGATCGAATCGGCATCGGATCGCCGCCTCCGGCTCGGCCGGCCTCGGTCGATGCCAACGAGTCGAACCGCATCAGAGTCGCGGCCCTGGCCGGCGAACCGAATCGCATCGAATCGGATCGTGTGCGGCCCTGGAAGGTCTGAAGGCAATGACGTGCTCGGCATAGATCTGAAGAGGGGAACGAATAATGACACGCACATAGAAACTCGGAAGCCCGCGCGGATTTCTCGGATCCGCGCTGGACCCCCATGGCGGCACCTCCGGCGCCGCCCCTGGCGCGCTCGGCGCGCCAGGGAGGGGGGTCCGACGCGCTCGGCAGCTGAAGTGCCCTCGCGAACCACGCGGGGACCGAGCGCAGCCCGGCCACACGAGACGCCTCCGTGCGGATCCTGCCTCGGCCTCGAGCCGCGGCCCCGCCCCGAGGAGGCCCCGCCTCTCGGAGGGCCCCGGGCGCGCGGCTTCTGGGACGCCCGCCAGCACCGACCCAGGGAAGGGGAAGAGGAGGACAAGCGCACGGCTGGTGGGGTGGTTCGAGTCGAATCGGAATCGGCTCGCAGCGACGGCTGGGATGCGCAATGGCATCCGCCATCAGATCAGTGAGAAATCCGCCGACCCTCAGGGGGTCTTTCACGCCTCACCGAACAAGACCAGGGAAGCGCCAGAGATGGCTCGTCTACCTGATCATACAACCAGAGCGCTCACAAAAGCATGCTCTGTCAATCTGACTGCAGCCTGCGACCTCCGCACACACACAGCACACTTTCAGCTCCATCGATCGAGGAGCCAGGCACGAGCGGCGGCCAGAGGAGCGGGCCGCCTTCATTCACGGTCGGTCAACTCAGCCTGAATCACATCACGCTTGAGCTTGAACTTTATGTTGGACGGCATTAGCAAACGCATTGTTGAGAAATTCACAACGCAGATACATCCATCCAGCAACTTCATGTTGGGCTCTATCATACCATTGGGGTCTCGAAGATACTGTTGGTAGCGCCTCTCGATGGCGCAGTTGTCCTGGTTCTGGTGGTGGAGCTCCACCCACTTGCCAGCGGGCTTCTTGTAGGACCAGGCGGGAACCATGACCAGATCTTGTCAGCCATCAGCGTCTCGAGATAGGTCTGCCCCTTTGACATTCATGGCCGCAGGCGTTGCGGTCATCTTCACCTTTGGGATCAGGCCCCTGCTGTCGGGGGAGATGCCAGACACCTTGTTGAACTTGGCCTTATTGTTCGACGGCGGCTGCGGCTTTAGGGCCTCCGTGATCCTCGCCACAGTCGGGTCGGCCGCCGTCTCCGTGATCATCTCGTAGGCAGAGAGCATCGCGCACGGTTTGCCTGTGCACGCCTGCCTGCGCAGAGGAGTCCTCGGGCGACGTGGCTAACTGCATGTCCACATCCTCTACAGACTTCTCGGTAGGGCGATCTACCGTCGCATCAGCAGGCACGGCTCCCGCGTATTCTCCAAAAGCAGCCTTCTGGAAGGGGCCGTCACACGCGGTGGGCGGGCGGGCGCCAGGAGCCAGCGCAGCCAACACCTCGTCCGCCTGCAGGTCCACGATGGTCGTGCTCGTGGATGTCTTGACTGTGGCATCCGCCGACTGTGGCCGCAGCGCAAGGAAATCCGCTATGGCGAGTTCTCGGTCTTGGGGCGAAAAGGCCCGCGTGAACGAGAGCTGCGGGTGTAGCTCGAGCACTTTCTCGAAATTGCAGTGCTCGCTGGTGTCGAAAGCCTTCCCCGTGGCTGTCTCCACGGTAGCGTCTAACTCGGAATTGTCGTCGTACCAGTAGCTGAACTCCCAGTGGTGCGCCTCGCTGATGTCGAGGCCGGGGGGGTGCGCCAGCCGCCAGGAGGCCAGCCACGCTGCAGCTGGCTTGCTGGAATTTTCGCGCATGAGTGGCGCGGGCTCGTGCTCGGCGGGCGGGGCCACACTCCGTCGGGCGGCGCACGAGACATCACGCATTCGGAGGCACTGCTGCCTGCGCCTGGGGCGGACCAGGCGGGGCGGGGGGAAGCGCGGCTTGAGCCAGGGGGAGGAGGAGGAGGAGGAGGAGGAGGAGGAGGAGGAGGAGGAGGAGGAGGAGGAGAAGGAGGATCAGAAGCGTAACACCTAATATCCGTGAGCTGGGGCGCCCGTCTCTCCCGTCACGCTGGCGAGCAGGGGGGGGGGCCTGGACCCCTTCCACGAGACCCGTTTTTCATCATAAGTCAATTTCCTGACGGCCCTGGGACCCAACGAAGGCCCCTTGAGTGCGAAGGTGAACAAAAGACCTCTGCGCCGTCATGCTTTCGCGACGCGAGGAGGCGTGGCCATTCGGGACGATCCCCGCACCCCCGGAACGCCCACGGCGAGGCGCAGGTGCTGGAGAACATGCCGAGGCGAGAAACGATCAAAGAGGCAACGGAAACTTGCAAATAATAATCATATCAAAAACATCCGAGACGTGTTTTTGTCGCGACGCGCGGAGGTGGTCCTTCTTGAAGCGTCTTGGCTGGAGAGGGCAAGGCAGGCGGGGACTGCGCGCGGCGCGCGCCTCGCGACCCACAGCAGGCGCATGCTGACCTTGAAGCGAAGGCCGACGGCCTCGCACGCGCGAGGCAAGCGGATCCTCTTCCAATTCGTCGTCGCCTTCCTCGTCCTCCTCCTCCGTTTCCTCCTCCGCCTCCGCCTCCCTCCCCCTCATCCGTCCTCCTCATCAGACATCATCCTCCCCATATCCTCCTCCTCCCTCTTCTCTTCTGCCTCCTCCTCCTCCTCCTCCTCCTCATGATCCTCCTCCTCCTGCTGATCCTCTTCATCCCCAGTAACATGATCCAGTGTATCAACGGATGGAGCCTGGCACGTGTTCGAAATGAGGCTCTCGTCTGGGATTTCTTCAAACATATGACAAGACGTATAAAAGAAACACCCTGGCAACAAAAGATCCGCAACAAACATTACACGGCTGTGTCGGTGGCACCAGCGAGTGTTGCAGCACCGGCATGCGATGTGGAGCCTGCAGGCTCCGTACTGCTGAAAAGGGGGCCGCGGTGCTAACATGAAGCGTGGTGCCCGCGGGCAGTCTGGTGATCGTGGACGCCGTGGTGTTCGGGAAAACAGCCCTGTTCGCGGGCGTTGGGGTGCCCGTGGGTAAAGATGTGCCAGCTCGCAGTGGCCGTGCTGCCCACAGCGCGGGGTTCGCAGTTCGCAGGGAATCCTTGCGCTCACAAGCGATCGTGCTCCCGTAGCCCGTGTTGCTCACAAGCGTTGCGGCACTCGCCACCCCTGCCCACTTGGCAGGTTCATGCTGGTCATGACCGCGACCAGGCGAAAACGACATCGACCAGGCACCAGGATCTGTCGCCTCGGCTTGGAGCGGAGGGCAAAGAAAATACCTGGTGACGTACCCCACCCTTTGTTCTCAACAGATGGCGAACCAGTATAAAAAACATCTAGGACTCCCCACGGCAAACATACATGCTGAAGGGCCTGCAGTGCGCGCGAGCTCCCAGAAGCACGCAAGAGAGCAAGCAGGAATAAGCAAGATAGACACGGAGACAGAAGCACAGAGGGGTGTGAAGGATGGACATACATGTTTTGCGACAGCTGCGCACTTCGCAAACCCCCAGGGAGCAGCGAGGTCCCAACTGCATCCCCGTACAACTCCACTCCGCTGGACCTCCCAGGAGACCACGAACATGGCGACGATTGCGCAAGTCGCAGCCCCCCAGGGAGCCGCAAAGTCCCAACTGGATCCCCGTACAACTCCACTCCGCTGGACCCCCCAGTGATGATATATTATGCCGATGGACAAGATATCTGTTTTCCATCTTGAGCCAAAATAGGTACACGGAGGAGGGTGTCAGAATCACTCCTCCTCGGGCCTGGCCGCCAACCCGGCCAGGCACGACATGCGTCGTACGCGGGCGCGTCCAAGCCGACACGCCCATCTCCACGTCACACGCGGGCGCGTCCAAGCCGACGCGCCCATCTCGTCAGCCAGGCTGCGGCCATGCCGCGAGCCCCTCACTTCACCCGTCCGGTGCGATCATACCGCCACCGGCGGAAACTCATCCAGCCCCACAGGTAGCGGAGCATGGATTCGATCCTTTCCTTCACTTGATATCCTTCTGGGTCGAACTCGGTGCCCGATCCCAGATGTTGAGCGTCGCCATGTGTCTCCTCAAGAGAGATCCACCCACGCTCTTGGTCAGCACGTCCGCGACATTGTTCTTACCAGGAACCGCGGCGATCGAGAGGTCGCCCTTGCCCGCGCGCTCCTGGATCCACAGGTATCGGGATTGAACATGTCGCATCTTCCCGAGACCTCGCCGTTGGACGTGGCCCCGGGCCGCCGATGAGTCTGAGGCGAGCTCCACCTTCAGGTCCAGCCCCCAGTCAGCGAAGAGGCTGTGTAGACCCAGGCCCACGCTCCCGCCCTTGACCAGGGCGTAGTACTCGCTCTCCCCACTGCTCAGAGAGACCGTCGACTGCAGATTGCTGCCGTGCTTGATGACGTGATGCCCCAGCATCGCCACGAAGCCTCCCGTACTTTTCCGAGTGACTGCACAGCCCGCATGATCGGAGTCCACGTACACCCGGATCTTGTCGAACATCTTCTGCTCCGTGAAGACCGTCACCGTACTGGGATGCCGCTTAAGGTAGCGGCCGACCCTCTTGAGCATGAGCCAACTCGCCTCCGTCGGCGTCTGCATGGACCTGGCGAGCGTCTTCGATGCCTCTGCCAAGTCCAGCCTGTCCTGAGACAGGTAGGCTACCCTCATGGTGAGGGATCGGAAGCGCGAAGCTTCCGCCGTTCCCAGCGCCGCTGACTTCGCGTCCATCATCTGCTTGTCGGCGCTGCGCTTCTCCATCGGCATGTCCACGCCGTTGGCCTTGCTGAGACCCAGCTCGTCGATCACGATCTCTGCGTGCCGCTTGTCCGGCTCAATCATCGCATGCCGGCAGGGCCGGCCACCGCCAGGCGGAACTCCCGCACTGACTTCGATGACCCGATTCAGGAAGACCGCCTGCTTGTCGTCGCCCTCGTCGAAGCCGAGGTTCGCAGTCTTCTTGAACTCGTACTTCTTGCCCAACGTGGCCTCGAAGCTGTCGATATCCTGCTGCTGAGCCAGCACCGCGAAGTCGTCGCCGTGCCCCAGCAGCCTCGTCTCGTCCTCCTCCTTGTAGAAGACCGCTGGGCACGATACGCCCGCCTTGTAGCCGTGCTCCTCCAGCAGCTCCGTGTAGTCGCCCTGCCAGATCTTGCTGGCGTCCTGCGTGCCGTACCAGGACTTGAGGAGTAAGCCACACTTGTCCTCGCCGTACTCCTTGCGACTCTCCTCCTCCAGCTCCACGAAGATCCTTCGCTGCGCCTTCCCGTTGAAGTGCGCCCTGCTGATGTCGAAGAAGCCGGTCTTGAAGTTGCCCGGCTTCCTGCCCTTCTTGCGAAGCGACTCCTGAATGTGGAGCGGTGCTTCCCGCGTCCACGTGACCATCAGCGAGACCAGCGACCGCATGGCCTCCAGAGGAGGCATTGCCGAGAAGACCTCGGACACCTCCAGCTGCTCGTCAGGGCGCTTCTTCGCCTTGATCTCCTTCACGACGAGCCTGCTCCTGTAGTTGGGCCTCTCCGCGTCACCCTTGTTCGTGTCGACCCACTTGAGTGGGATGGCGGACGCCCAGTCTCGGCGAAAGCCTGAGACCTCGGGACGATCTCGATCAGCTCCTGCTTCTTGACCCACTCGCGCTCGACCGCGCGAGCCTGGGCCACAAGGGCCGCCTCCAGGTAGCCGCCATTGACGTCGTCCCAGTAGCTCGTCCAGTCCCCGGGCGGCACCGCCGCGTCCACAGGGACTGGGCCCGACTGCTGCACCTGGGCGGTGCTGAGCTCCCCCACGTCATTCAGCGTGTCCTTGAGCTCCTCCAGCACCGCCTCCACCCACTTCGGTGGATAGACCTTCGCAAACCGCGCGATGCCGCCCACGAGCGTGATGTGGCGATGCCACTCCGCGCGTCCGTCCACATTGCTGCAAGTGCCCTGCAGTCTCCGGGCTAAGCCTGGGTGGTTGGTGACCCACCCGGTCTCCTTGCGCACGAACTCCTCCTGGCCACTGCGTGGGTTCGTGAGCTTCATGCCCCACCGACACATGGGGCCTTTGACCGTGAAGACTCCTGGAAGCGCGACCAGCTCCTTGACGATGTCCTCATTCCACGATCGCGCGCTCCAGGGATGCTCATGCAGGAAGTACCTGCCTGGCTTCCTGAGCAGACGCCAGTAGGCGTCGACTGCCACCTTCAGGTGGTGTCTGGCCTCCTCCATCTCAGCCGCCTCCTGCTCATCGGTCCTGAACTTGGCGCTCAGGCCCCTCTGCAAGCTGAACTTCTCGCATGGAGGGGACCCCGTAAGCAGGATGGGATCCATCCGCTCCTGCAGCTCCTCGAGCTCCTTGATGTCCTCGGGTCGCCGCAAGTCCCACGGCGTCCCGTCCTCCTTGAGTTCCTCCAGGTCCGCCGCGAAGCCCGGGCGCAGCTGAAACTCCGCCGCCCGAGCCGAGAACCGATGTGGCGAGTACACCTCTGCCACGTCCACGGCGCCCAGCTGCAACGCCGATAAGGCGATGCTGTCCACCTCTTCGTCGGCGATGTCCACGCCGACGCCGGCCCAATGGCCGCTGACCTGTTCGCGAACGAGCGGGAGCAACTCCGCCTTCGCTCTCGTCAGCACTCCGAGCTCGACCAGCTCGATCGACGCCACGTCGAGAGCGAGCACCCGCATGTGTCTCCCCTCACTGGCGTTCCATCAAACGACTCTTCTCTTGCCACTGCCACTCCAGCTGGCAAAACACAAAAAAAGAAAAAAAAAGAAAATAACAAAAAAAAAAAAAAAAAAAAAAAAAAAAAAAAAAAAAAAAAAAAGAAAAAGACATAAAAGAAAAAAAAAAAAACACAAGGGGAAAACAAAAAGAAAAAAAAAAAGAGAAAAGAAAAGCAAAAAAAAAAAAAGCAAAAAAAAAAAATAAAAAAAAAAATAACAAAAAAAAAAAAAAAAAACAAAAAAAAAAAAGAAAAAAAAAAAAAAAAAAACAAAAAAAAAAAAAGGAAAAACAGCAAAAACAAACAAAAAGAAAGAAAGAAACACCAAAAAAAAGAAACACAAAAAAAGCAAAAATAAAAATACAACAACAAAAAAGAAAAATCAGCAAGAAAAAGAAAAAACAAGCAGAGGTCCTTCCGCTGGCGCCGGCTGCGCCGCGAGATCCTCCATGTCCACCGGTACCGGCACGTCTGCCGGCTGTGGATCACCGCGCTCGAGGGCCTCCGGCACGTCATCCGGGGCCACCTCCGCCAAGCGCTTCAGCCGCGACCTGGTCGCAGTCATGTCGACATCCTCGGCGGCCTCTGCCGCTCTCACTGCTCCCGAACTGGAGCTCGCTCCTCCTGAAGGAGCCGCCACGCCGGAGCCTGATGCTACCGGCTGGCTCTCTCGCATGCGCGCCGCTGCGGCTGGCGCAGCTGCCGATCGGCTCGCGGCCGGCGCCGACGCCGCCGCTGCCACCGGCTCGGTGATCCTCCGAGCCGTCTTCGGCGGAGGGGTCCCTGCCGCGGCCGCTGCCGCCGGTCGGACTCTGGCCTCTTGGCCCTGCCTCCGCTCTCGATACTGGCCGGTCCTCTCCCGGCCTGCCTCCTCAGCGTCCAGCGCTTCGAAGATTCTCTTGCTGCACACCGCGTTGTGCGCTTGGCCAGCCAGCACCTTGCCGTGCTTGGCGATCGAGACGCACCCTGGGCATCCCGGCGTTGCGCCCAGCCGCTCGACGTCCGCCTTGAGAACGTACATCCTCCTCGGCGCCTGCGGCTGCGGCGGCGCCGCCACAATCGGTGGCGGACCGGCCTCTCCCGGTCCGACGATGGCTCGCGGCGCACTGGCCGCACGCGGAGCCACGTCCCACGGCGGGCCCTTCAGGCTGTCCCAGCCCGCCGTGATCCATTTCTCGCCCTGCGGCAGGCTGCGAAAGCCGACCGCCTTCTTCACACCGTCGCTCGTGATGACCATCATCGAGCCGTCGCGCGGGTGGTGGCCGATGTAGCGAGCCTCCACCATCTGCTCCTCCAGCGCGTTCTTCCTCGCGCGCTCCCCGGCGAACCGCACCATCAGGCGCTCACCGAAGAGCGGGACCGGCTTCCTCCACTGCCGTCCCGTGAGCCGCTGAAGAGCGGTCTTGCCGTCCTGGCCGCGCCTGCATCGGTTGATCACCGATGCGGCGTGCTCCGGCAGGAGCGCTAGCACTGGGTGCTTGTCCTCCACCTTGACGCCCAGCTTGGACTCCAGGTCCATCTTGAGCGCTCGCACCTGCTTCTTGATCTCGCGCACCGTGACCTCGATCTCCCCATTGGCCTGATGATCGGCCGGTGCCGACTCCTGGGGAATGGCCTCGAGGCCAGGAACCTCCTCCACCGCACGCCTCTTGACCAGCGGGATCGCTGGCTCGCCGTCGGACTTGTTGACGATCTTCCTGTAGCCCAGGATCCGTAAGAAGCGCGCGAAGAACTTGATGGCGTAGGCGTCGTCGCCCTTCTTCTCCACGAATGTCGCTGCCATCATCTTCGAGCGTCGATCCCTAAGGACCAGCATCGGCATGGTGTCCGCGTCGTCCTGGCCCATGAAGGCGTAGTCGGACGAGACCACCGGCACCGCCGACTCGTCGTCCTCCGGTGCGCGGAGATGCGGCTGGCCTTGGCCCTTTGCCGCAATACACACGCGACACCAGCTGCGGTAAGTCGCGTGTCCCATCGCCTCGTGCTCGGCGATCTCCTTCTGAGAGGGCTCATGAGGTGCCTTCAGCACCCTCGGGCGAGCCTCCTCCTCGCCCTCGTCGGCCTGCTGTCCATCAGGAGCAGCTGGCAAAACGTCGGCCGCGGCAGCTGCCGTTGGCTGAAAACCCGGCGGTCTCATGTCGGAAGGTCCCGACCCCGCCACTGCCACCCCTGCAGCCGATGCCGCAGGGGACCGCGGTATTGAGTCTTCCAGTGGACTTACGCCGAGGGCTGCCTCCTGGGGACTGTCCTCTCGAAGATCTCCAGCAGCTCCTCCTTCGACTTGCCGCTGAGGAGCTCCACCAGCTCGGACTTCGACTTCGCCGAAAGTCCCTCCTCGAGAGGAGCAACCGAGCCATGTTGGCCCTTCTTGAGGTAGAAGTTGTAGACGCCCTGCTCGCGATAGACCGGCAGCATCTGGTGCTTCGCCGCCTTCGCCTCCTTCTCGAGCATGCCTACCACGCGCTTGCCGATTGGGCTCTTCTCGTGGAATATCCAGCCGCCATTGCGACCCAGGAATGAACGCTGTCCAGCTCCTGCTGCCTGCCCCACCGAGATCAACGGCTTGTGCACGTTCGTCACGCGTCCCTTGAGTGCTCGTAGCACTCCGTACTCGTCCTCCGCCTTGAGCTGCAAGCTGCCCTCGTCCGGGACGAGCTCACCACTGGCCGTGCGATACGTGCTGCCGTTGCCCTTCATTCCCGTCGGCGGCGCGAAGCTCCGAGGGAATGCTGAGACAGCTGCACCGCTGTCCCAGTTGAACTTCATCCAGTCGTCCTGCACGAAGGGGGAGAGGTCGTCCGCCGCTACGCCGCGGCCGTTGCCGCTGGCGAGCTCCAGGCAGTCCAAGCTGCCCATGTCCAGAGCGGCGACCTCCGCTTCAGGCTCCTCCTCCAGGCTGCCTGCCGCCTTGCCGCCGGCCTTGCCGCCGCGGCTGCCACCTTTACCACCAGCGCTTGCCCCCGTTGCGGATCCAGTTCCAGCCCTCGTACTCGATCCCTGCTCTTTCCTCCAGCATTCGGATGCCTTGTGGCCCCATCTCTCGCAGTTCCGACAGTAGCCGTCGAAGCGCACGCCGGTGCTTCGAGGTGCCGTGTGTCCTGAACCACGGCCCGAACCCGTCGGGGATGTGCGGGGGCCTGAGTATGATCCGCTCGTCGATTTGCTCTTCCCCTTCGGCTCCTGAGTCTTGCCTTTTCCCTTTGCTCTTGCCGTCCTTGCCCTTGCCTTTGCCTTTTCCTTTCGGGGCTCCGAACGATCCGACGTCCATGTCGTCCGGATGATGCGCCCGTGCACGGATCGATGGCTCCTTGATCTTCACGCCGGTTCGAGCCTCTACGATCGTCATTACCTCGTTCAGGCTGTCCTGGAACGTCACGAGCCGATGCTTGTTGAGTACGAGGTGGTTCTCGATGTCCTGAGGCACGAGCATCTCGAGGGCCGCCATCTTGATATCCTCCGGCAACTCGGCCAGCCCGTCTTCTCCTTGGCGGCGTTCGTACTTGCCTATCTGCTGGATCCACTTCTCTAAGGCGGACCCCAGCTCTTCCGCGTTGCACTTCGGAGGCGAGATGATCGACCTCAGGATCAGCCTCTTCCTCGGACCTGTCGTCGGGTCCCACCTGCGGTGAAGCTTCCGCCAGGCCTCGAGACCGTTCCCGTCTGGTGCGCCCGTCACGAGGTCGTTGCTCTCGCTGCCGTCCGCCGTCGTGCTGATCAGCGCCGCGTACAGCTGGTTGATCTTGGTCTCCAGCTCTGGTACTCCTCCGTGCGCCTCCTGTGCCCCTTCGATCGTCACGGGGCGTTCGGCTTCTGCCGCCCACCGGAGAACAGGACGGAAGCTCTCTCCGTACACGCCTATCACGTAGTTCTCCATCTTGCGGTTCCAAGCTCCGAACTTCTCCTGATCGTCGCCTAGCGTCGTGGGCTTGCCGATCCCCTTCGTGTCGACGAGACCTGGTGCGGCTCCTCCCGCGTGCGTAGCTCCTCGGATCTGCTCGCCCATGCGCTCGATCGCCTGCGGGATCGCCGCGAGGCCTCCTGCTACTTGTTGCTGAAGCCTCTGATTCTCGTTCTCCAGCCTCCGCATCTCGTCGACGGTCTGACTCATTCGGGCTGCGAACTCCTGCCTCAGTAAGTCGAACTGCTGCCGAACTTGCTCGTCCATGTTTGATTGCGTGTCTCCTGGCGAGCTCCTCCTTGCGCTCTGAGATCTCCTGCCTCGTACGCTCGAGGTCTATGATCTGATCTAAGACCTCCTTCTTCGCCTCCTCGATGGCGCCCGACGAATTCTCCGACGGGTGGTCCTCGATATACGCGAGGTCGTGCAGCTTGTTGCCCGTGTCCTTCAGGCCGTGTTTGAACTGAAGCTGACGTCGTCTATTCTCGACCGCTGCGTCGCTCCTCTTGCCGCGCCTGCGGCCGCTCTTCCCGGCTCCTGCCGGTCGACTCCTCCCGGACTCTGCCGGTGGTCTCCTCTCAGCCTCTGCCGGTGGCCCGGCCTCTGCCGAGCTTGGTGCGGCTGATGCCGCTCTCTTCCAGCCTCGGGTCTCAGCCCACGCGCCTTGCCAACTCGCCGTGGCGCCCTCGGGCGCGCCAAGGCCCTGGTGGGTTGGCAACAGTGAGTGGCCAGCTCACGCTACCATGATGATATATTATGCCGATGGACAAGATATCTCTTTTCCATCTTGAGCCAAAATAGGTACACGGAGGAGGGTGTCAGAATCACCCAGGCATACAGGGGAAAAACACCAATTGCGCACTTCGCAGCCCCCCAGGAAGCCGCGAAGTCCTAACTGGGCCCCCGTACCACTCCTCTCCGCGCGACCCCCCAGGAGCTCACGAAAGTGGGGACATTTGCGCACTTCGCAGCCACGCAGGGAGCCGCGAGGTCCCACTCCGCGCGACCTCGCAGGAGTTCACGAAAGTGGGGACAACT